CTTGGCTCAACGTTTCAGTTTCAGTCGTTTAATAATTTAAAAAAATAAATAAATAATAAATTTAAAAAATGAATTAACTTACAAAAAATGACTGTATATTATTTTCTTTGGTATATCTGTGAAATATTTATTGTATAACACGACGCCCGAGAGAATGTCAGTGGTGAAGGCACCGAAACGAGTCAGACCCAGATCGACACCTGAATGAGATCGGGGACGACCATGCTGCGACAAAAGTGTCCCTATTTAAACAAAAAAATTGTTTTCTTGTCGGGATTTTTTCTTCCTGAAAAAATTTCTCTTCCTCTTGATTTAGGAAGTTCCCCACGGTGTACCCGGGGACGCCTTGACCTACAAAGAGATGTAGCCCTTCGTTTCGTGAAGGATTTCGTCTCCTTTATTTGGTATACTTGTTTTTCTCCAAGGTGATTTATTTATTTATTATATTACAGGTGACGGCCATATTTCCATTATATTCACGAATCACTGCTTTTGGGCCCGGTTTCGTCTTTTGCGTTGAGTTCAGATCTTTTTCAACCCCGTCAAAGCCAAATTTGTTTTATTGTAGGCACTCGCAACATATAAATCATATCCCATCTTCGGTTTTTCTCACTCAAAATTATGATTGTGCGATGATTATTTTAAACTGGAAAATCGGCAACGAATGAGTCCGGTTATTTATTATTCATATAATACAAATAATAAAAATATAATTATTTATAATTGGGATATTAACCCGTTAATTAAAAATTATATATTTAAAACATCATTCGTATGTGCAAGTAATACCTAAAGCGCTAAAAAAGGAAAAAATATTTAGTATTATAATTACTGACAATTTATAAAAATGAACAAAATGCAATCTCACTGGCAAATGAGATAAATTATATAAGATAATATAACGATATAAATTAATTATAATTTAGTGTATGAACTGCGCATGTGTCCAACAAGTAAAACGTTGCTCGATTGTCCCACTTGATTGGATGGGGGCCATTCCCTGGATCCCTATACAGAGCGTGTAGGAATGCCACCCTACATGAGAATTGTGCTTGAGCTCTGTAGCGGGTCTTTGGGTCCCCTCTTCCAACTTTTTGAGAAAACAGGGTTTAATTACGTAGCATCTGGTAGATATTTCTTCTTAGACTCTAGAGCTTAAATTCGTTGGCGAGATGGATACGTCAGGAGACCTGAGTACCAAAACGTAAAGTGGTATTTACAAATGTTTAAATATGCATATAAATGTATTCATGTAATTAATTGATTTAATGTATTAATGTAATTAATTCATTTGTAAAATTTGGAAACTTGATAATAAACTAATAAATTATTTATCTTTGATGTAGCGTTGAGATTTGTTCTGCTGTATTACTTATGTTGCACAGTAACATACAAAATTTCATATCTTTATTTCATGAAAGGGAACTACTATGTTTATGTTATTCTTATGATCGTAAGGGACGCGTACAAATAATATGATCAACGTCGGACCAGTAGATTTCGAGATTACCTCTAACGTACAAACCAACTTTATTGCTTTATTATAGTACAGATTTGGGATTAAGAACTTGCACATTCTCTAATAGTCGGCATCATTTCCTTTCTCTTTTGCAAGAGGGCGAGTATTTATTTTATTTGTTTTTTTATTTGGAAAAAATAAAATAGATAAAACACGTAGTACAACATAGTGTCGTAAACAATAATCCAAAACCAGATTGGTTTCAGTCACGCTATTTCCGTGAGTTCCGCCTGTTATGTAGAATCGAAATTTGAATTCGGGCAAATATGCGATATGATTTTGAACGGCTGAATGTTATTTTAAGTACACAGTCGAAAGAGAATGATCACCAGTTGGAAGAAAAAGAGACATTCTGCGGGGGATCCGCGATGGAGTGTCAACAGAACTAGTCCACAAAGGGAACAAATAATTCACATGTAACAGTTCTACTAGCTGTACACTGCAATTTGCTTTCTTTTCCCACCTTTCGAGATGGATGTGCACGAAAGAATTTTTGGGTTAAGGGTTCTATATATAATATAGAAGATATATAAATCGGCTAACCCGTAATCATAAACCGCATGCGACTACAGTTGCACCAAGAATTTGATTTTTTTTAAACTTTCAAACACATTACGTTTTGGTTAGCAAAGTATTTTTACGATAAATATTCATTAACTTGTATTAAAATGTTTAACTTTTGAGAATAATTTATAATAAATTTATTGATTTGTTGTATTTGATGTTTGTGCTAATCTGACAAATCTTTATTACCCGTTACCTTTACTGTTTATTACCTTTATTACGGAAAAATGTGTCTATTGTGATGTAGCATGATCTGCCTGCCTATTCTTGCTGATCTGTCAGTGTTTTGGCATGCTGCAGGGTCTGTCAGACCAACCTCTTTCTCAATTTTTTACATATTCAAATTTTCTTGACATGCTTTTCGTAACAATCAATATATCGTAATAAACAAAAGAAAACAAATTGACAAACACACTAACCGACGGTAATAATTATCGAAAAAATTAGTACTTTCGCCCCTTCACTTTTAACGTAAAAAACGGACACGAATGATAAAACACACAGCCCAACCATTCCAAGATGTATGACTGACAGACGAAAGGACATATTGGACAGACCATCTACGGTCAAGGCGGCCGGTTCCTCACCTGATAGATGTCACTACTATGTTTCACAATATTGTCATAACTTTTCAAAATTTTGCTTTTTATTGCTTGAATGTTTTATTTGTAGGTGCGTGGTGGGTTTGTTAGTCAGGATATAAGCTATTACTGTTTGCAGAATTTGTGTTTACTTTCCAGTAATGGGTACTGAACAAATTAGAAAATTTATTAACATAAAAACATTAAATTTAAAACTAATCTTCAACGCAGAAAGAAATACCAAAATTCTAAAGCCTCAACTTATTTCTAGTTTAAAATTTGTAATCCTTGTTATCATAATAAAAACTGAAACCGATTAGATAGTTTTCATAGGACGTCAAAAACCATACATTTTGTTATCTTTCCGTCTTGCTAAAGCAGGTGCTTGGATCATAAGTATTTCTTTGTTTATGACACATAGCTGAGAGATAAACGTTGATGTTGTTGACCCATTAAAGTGATATTGAAACCATAAAACCATTAACTAATTCAACTTATAAATTCTTGAGAATGTGTGGTTAAAAGAGATCTTTTATTTGGATTGTTTTTTTGTTGACATAACGTTATACAGTTTTCCTTCGATCAAACGTCGTGAATAAAAAAACAGTTTCGACAAACTTTACAACTTGGTTTTGCTATAAAACGGATTGAACATAAGACAAGAAGGCAAGACACTTGGGATTTGGGTAAGGCAACATCTGGGCAGAACTGATTTTGCGTGTTTCAAGGGGTAGATTAAAAGAAACCTGAAGACACAACACTGAAGGCGGCGACATGCCGAAATTCGTCTGACAGACCTACACAGCAAACATAGATAGATCAAAATGATCGATGAAGGCCAAATTACAAATGAAACCGTACCAAGATGTCAATGCATTTAAGACGGCTATACAGTTATTATATAAAAAGCGCGGCGGCGGATGTACATAAAGGTGTACATATGACTTAGAAGGCTCCAAGTCCAATTCCAATAACAAAAAAGTTCTCATTAAAAATAAAGTAGTACAAGTTTCCAAAACAGTACAGGGTTAAGTATCTTTTCAGTTCTGAATTTTTTACATTTTGCCAAGCAGTTTATACTGTCGGGGAGGCAGCTGATTTTTGTTGATTCATGAATATAGTTATAGGTAACATCAAACAATAATCTTTGTTTTCTGAAAATACGTGCACAATATGAATTAATTTATCCGAATAAACCAAAACGAATAGACTGAGATTTAAAGATGAGATGATGGATCGACCTGCTTTTAAAGATGAGATGATGGATCGACCTGCTGTATCGTCATCATCAGGGCCTATTTATTATAGGAAAATATAGCAGTTAAAACATATTGGATAATTTAAAAACAATTATATTTTTCTTACTTTAACTCGATGAGTGTTGAAATATATTTTGAGAAAAAAAAACTGCAGTTATGATTATTTAAAATTAGCAAGATGAAATATGGAATTAATTCAAAACAATAAAAACAACATAATATAAATTTCTAAAATTAAAAATAACAAAAAACAACTTAGTCGTGTAGGTCTCATGTCTCTCCCTTGTGGTTGAAGTTAGCACTTTAATTTAAGTTATCTATACATAGTACATTTAAAAAAAAAGCTTAATTAATCTTAACTGTGATATCCAAATGGACCTGAAAAAAGTAAGAAAAGAGGCATGTACTTACTTATATGTATATTTTAACCGAGGTATCTTATACGACCACGTTGTTTTTTAAAATTTTATATTATGTTGTTTTTATTGATGTTAATTAATTCCATATTTCATCTGTTAATATTTAGATACTGAGCTCCACCTAATTTTAAATAATCATAACTGCAGTTTTTTTCCTCAAAATATATTTCAACACTCATCGACTTAAACTAAGAAAAATATAATTGTTTTTAATTTTGTTTTTTAAATAATACATTATGTTCTAACTGCTATATTTTCCTATAATAAATAGGCCCTGATGACGATACAATCGTCAAAAGCTCGGCAAAAACTTAATGAATTGTCGTTCTGTTGTGACCTCACCAAAGATACTTTTTCCAAGTTGTTCTACAGCAGGTCGATCCATCATCTCATCTTTAAATCTCTGTCTATTCGTTTTGGTTTATTCGGATAAATTAATTCATATTGTGCACGTATTGTCAGAAAAAAGATTATTGTTTGGTGTTACCTGTAACTATATTCATGGATTAACAAAAATCAGCGATCATAGGCAGACCAAGAATTATCAAACAATAAGTTTATCATCCCGGAGACCAAAAGAGGAAATCTCACAAAAAAGTTATTTCGTTCATCAGCCAATTGATTATTTTCGACTGACACTGAATACAGGATTTCTTACCACGGCCCAGAAAGACAAGCAACTTGCATTGTCAACGCTTGCAAGGTCACTATCCACTTTCGCTACTCACTGAACCTCAACTCACGACAAGTTTCTAATTTGCTCTCATATAATTTTTCTTTTGTCAACTGACGAGATGACAAGACCGAACGGACGGTTGGTTTTTCTTTTTATCCGCAAATCGAATTTTCCGTCTATTTCCTAAGAAATCCAGTGAACAGCATCAACAGGACAACAAAATTTTTCGCACTCATACAGTAGAATCCGTTGCGAAAATGACAAATCGCTGACGAATCATTATGACTATAAAATATATTTGTATTTTTAGTGTATTTATTATTTTGAAGATCTAAATTTTACACATACTTTGATGGTATAAAAAAAGAAAAACAGACTCATAAGCTTGCAACAAATTATAAATACTTAAACTTTTACGTAAAGAAAAAGCTGTAAGTACAAAATGTTAACATTTGCTGGATTTTTAAATTGTGTTTATTTTTTATATATTCAGTATTATGGTATATATCTGTATTTTGTGCTACAACTTAAAAGGTTAATTTATTTAAAAAGATAAATACTTCTCAACAATTTCATCATAAATTGACGTTTATCCAAGATGGGTCAAAATACTTATTGAAAAGCCCATCACAAATTGTATTATATTCCACTCACGAATGCCCTCTCCGTTATGCAGGAAAAAATGCATAACTGCAATTAGCAGACAAACGCAATAACATTAATTTTTCTATCGCAAATAAAACTTCTTCTAACAATTTCATATGTTCAGAAATAATTTACCCCCGTGACCGTAAAACGTTATATAGACATGAAAGTATCTTGTAACTTTAACATTAAGATGAAAATTGTATTGTAGATGGGAAACATTTTCGATTTTGAACGTTAGAGTATAGAATAGCAATTGCAGAAAAACGTTCGACAATTATTATGTTTGAATTACTACAGAACTAGAATGAAGATTGAATAAATTTGGCAAAAGTAATAATGAAAAGAATACCCTGGCATGAGACAGTCCTTTGTCTGTTGGAGAAATGTGTCCCTTTCGGGTTTAGTGATGCTGATGAACATTTTACCATGGAAGGACGTAACTGTGATGCCAACTCGATGACATTTGTCTCTTGACTGTTCCAAGAACCAAGCTTGCTCTACACTGTTTAGGGTTGGTTAGGGTATAGACTCTACACTGTTGAATACCGCTTCTCCCCCCCCCCCACACAGGTCCCTCTCCAATCCATTCTTCACACTCTTTTCATAATGGCTTCTCGTTTTCAGGTCACATTTTCTGTGTCATAGTAAATGCGTGTTTTTTCTTATTGCCTACAGTAATCAAATCACCTTTTATTTGTAAAACAGGGTGCTTTAATACATATTAATAAATTATTATTATAACTTTAAGTGTAAAAATATATTGAATTATATACGCTCAGTTTATGTAAATTAAACTAAGGGTAATATTAAATTATATAAGCTAAGTTTATGTAAATTAAACTCCGTTCAAAATGAAAACAATTTCTAAATTGAGCTAAATGATTAATGAAATTAATTTATTAGCATTATAATATTACATGTTATAACATTACATTATATAACTTTAACATCATAAAATAGAAATAAACTACACTTAATAAAATAAATATTATAAAATAATACAATAAATAAAACATGGTAATATAAAATGACCTACTGCCTGTATAAGAATAAATATGTGTACCATACCATTGCAAATAGATGACGGTGCACAAGGCGGTGAAACTAGACCAAAAATGTAGATAATGCCACCAACCATACATTTCTATCTCAACCCACTCCAGATAATGCCATTTTAATTTTTTGAGAAAAATACATTTTGTAATAACAGCCCAATTTTCTCTTCTTTTAGTTTTTTTTTTTTTTTTTTTTCATTTAAACACATTTTTAGAATCAGCACTAAATTTGTGAATGAGTTATAATGTATATAAGCTCAATCAAGTTCATATTACGATAATATTTAGTCGTGTTGTTATTCACGTTTTTTACCCGTTCAGAATTGAGCTTCATTAAAGAACGTCACGCTTGAAGTGGATCGGTGGGGGTTCCCTCGTACAATGACGAGAGACACCGTCAACCTGTTGATGAGCATTTATTGCTTGAAATCTGAATAATTGTAAATAACAAAAATGTGAGTAGAACCATCATTTACAAAAAATGAATCTACATACTCGCCCCACCTTCATAATTGCTACAATTTTTTTTCTGAAATGTTAAACAAGAACACATTCTTGTAATATAATTGTTTAAATTAATGCGATTTTATCATTGTAGTTTTGTTGGTGCAGAAATGTAAAGATCCTGGAATGGCATTAATTAAGGTACTTTTATGCGTGTGTACGAAATAGATCTAGTCATGACACACAATTTTGTCAAGTGGTATTCCATTTGAATATATGTATCTGTAAAGAGTTCCTTCGGCTCTTCCACTGAATAATAATAAAGTTTATTGCACAATAAATAAATAAATTTATAAAAATATATACTTTACAAATCTAATATATACTTAAATTAGTTGGTAACCGTCTGCTGGGACTTCCACTGAGTGTGTGCAGTTCATTATGAAGATAATGACTTTATACCAGCAAACCTGCTAAATATTCAAAATTTGTAAAAATGATGTTTTCAATTTAATTTTAACAGATTGCAGGGTTCTCCGGAAATTATACTGTATGTATACTCAACAATATTTATTTAAATTTTTTCAAACAATGTAACAATTAATTTTTTTAAATTTCCAAACATTTAATCGTTCTTCCAATTAAAATACAAAATTTGTTTTTTCTGAAATACAAATAAAATATATCCATAATGATTGTTGAATTTTAACGACATTTTATAAAGGAAAATTATTCAGAAATTGTGAGATGCGGTCTGGTGTGATGTAGGTTTCAGAAAAACATTTTCTTTATCGTGCCAACGTTTCGATCTTTATTGAGATCATCTTCAGGGCTCAATAAAGATCGAAACGTTGCACGATAAAGAAAATGTTTTTCTGAAACCTACATCACACCAGACTGCATCTCACGTTTTCTGAATAATTATCAATTAATGGTCATTAATCACCACACATTTTACAAAGGGAGGTTAAACATTTATTATCGTGGTTCACACACTGAATAAAAATGTTGCATAATTGTGCACATGTTAGCTAAATCATGTCTGAAAACGGTAAATAAGAAAATAAAGTTTTGACTCAGCTTTTAAATCACAGATCTGACATGAATATTTCTAATAATAAATAGAAGTAGTTTTAAATATCATTTTTGTTTTTAATATATAGTTTTTCTTCAACCTCTTCGGACTGCCTCAAGAATTCGTAAAAGCTCTAAGAACAGGTTAACAATGTCTAGATAGAGCTCTATTGTTGCCAATATATATTCCTCAGGCGATACTCTCTTCATGATATTCTAAAACAAAGAATTATTGAAACAGTCATCAGCAGTTAGTTTATTCATCGTCAACAAAATATTACCTGTGTGTCATAAATTATGAACAAACAGAAGATAAAAGCACCGGATATCGAGAGAACAAGTTCAAAAATGCTGTTTTGGAAAAACAGCTGTACAATACCGCCAATGAGGAGCACACAAAGTAACGGGAACAATCTAAAATGAGATCAACAGGCCAACATTTCAAAAAATAAAATAATTAAAAAACTTTTTATAACGAAGGTAATAGGTAATTCATATTTTAATTCTGTGTGAAGTGGAGATCGACCAGTGAAATTATTTGAGTGAGGATTAGGTAAATCGTCATCAAATGAAGAAAATAAATGACTAATTATTTCAGCACTAAGAATAATTCCAATTAATTATTCTTTTTATCTAAGGTTTTTCATTGAGATGAAAAATTAGTGTCACAAGAGGGGTTTGAACCCACAACCTTCGGCTCAATACGCTGCCGCTGCTCTGACCTCTTGAGCTATCATGACTTCAATCCCCTCAGATACCAACCCCTCATCTCAACCTACGAATGCTCAAATTTTCCCTCTTTTTGCCATATTTTCACGTTGTGTAATCAGGATTCTCAGTGAAGTAATTACTTCTTTTAATTATTAAATTAATCCATATTTGCTTAGTAGTCATAACTGACCATATTAATTATTCCAATTAATTATTCTTTTTATCTAAGGGTTTTGGCTGAGATGAAAAATTACTCAACCAAAACCTTAGATAAAAAGAATATTCAATTTGAATAATTAATACGTTCAATTATGACCACTAAGCAAATATGGACTAAGAAAATACAACGCTAAGCATTTAAAGACATACAAAATTAAAGTAATATGACAAAATAATATTCAACGATGAATTAGTTGTGGTAATTGACTGTATTAATTATTTTAATTAATTATACTTTTCATCTCAACCAAGACCTTAGATAACAAGTATAATTAATTGAAATATTCAAAGAATTAAAGAATATTATTTAAATGGTTCACTTGGTAAAAAGAAAAAAAGAAAAGACTATTGTTGTTGACTTACACAAGTCCCAAAGAAGAAAAATCACGTTTTGTTTGAAATGTGTAAGCTGTTAGACCGGCAACAACAGACACAGTCAGCAAGAGCGCTTGAAGGACTAGGACCTTATCGAAGTACGTTACCACGACTCCTACAGCATATGCTTGCACCACAGTCTACAATTTAAGTGCAAAGTGTTAATTTTAATCTTGTCCTCTTGAAAAGACCCATTTAAAAAGCCTAATACTTACAAATCCTGCGAGCAAGAAGAAATTGATCGGATATTCCCTTCTCTTGAAATGCAATGCCACAAGGGTCAACAAGCTTAAGATGAAGGCGAGCAATATCATCCAGTCACTAAAAGAAAAAAAAAATGAGATGGCACAGAGATAGAAATTAACATATCATGTACTTCTTTTGGACGAATAATTTTCCGGATGGCCAATACAAGAGCACAAATCCAAATAGTGTAGTAGTCAGTAGTTGGATTGACAAAAGGGTGTAAACCTTCTTGAGGAATGCTGAAAAGTAACAAAATAACAATTATTGTAATCTCTTGATTATTAAAAACACTCACAATTTGAATATAATTAAGCTTTTGTTTATATTAAATTTCAAATTTCAAAGTAAAAACAGGTTGAATTGTCTTCCAGTTAAATAATGTTATTTATATTTTCATTTAGTAAAAAGTCTACATACTCCATTCAATAATTCAATATTTATTTTTTGTATAAATAGGAGTTTTTCATTTTTGAATTGTTAATACAAGTTAACATTACTGCATATGAAAGCTGAAATTGAAAAGGTGATATTGTAGGTTAAATTGACCACAAATGAAGTTTATCCAGCAACTACTTGTTAGTACTTCATGTAAGCTCAAATCTGCATTTGTAACACACATAGGCACATGTATAGTTAAGCCTACCACTGCTTGCAGTCCACCCCAATTCCAGCTTTTGTTGTTACCATAAATTACTGACAAGCCTCTAGAGAATGACCCACCCCGGGGTCAGATATCGGCCTTATTCAGCAAGCCAGCCAGGTTGGGCTCTGGGAGTTGTCAACAGCTAAGTCATTTCAGCATCCAACATTATCAGCCTTCCATTCACACTCTCACGCACTCTTAATTACATTCTATACTATTTATATATTACCATTCGCTCAGTTAGGATGGTAGAGTACTTATATTCCTTGAACAACCTTTGCACCTATATAATATAACTAACCAAACTAAGGGTAGATGGGGTACTCAACAATCCACTATCAGCCCTTTGACACTACACATTCATGCCAATATATACATTCACTCTCAACACTATATATAAAATATGTAAAAGAAAATATAAATAATTTTAAAAAAAGTCTGTGATAAGACAATAAATCACATACTGTGGAGTGTGAGAAACTAAAACAATTTAGATTAAGGTGTGACCTACCCCAGACGAAAAGAAAATCTTAGTGCGTAACAGTGACTACCGATAAAATTTATTGGAATATTTACAAGTAGTGAAAGTGTATGACTTACTACAATCTCCCCTTTGCATATGTGCAATATGAACGTATGTATTTATTAGTGGAATGCTGGATGAGTGGATATGAATGAGAGCAGGCCATTCGACAGTATATCCAACTACTTCGATGGTTTGTTATCTAGGCCATTTTTGATATGAATGAAAACTGGAATATTACCATGGTTGCCCCTATTTATCTTTTTTCATACGTAGTGTACTATACAGACAAATAAGTGTATTTATTAGCATGATTGACGATGGATGCAAGGGTACTTTAAATAAGTACGGGAATTGGTGGAATGAGAGCAGGCCATTCACTGGAATATTACAGTACCTCAACGGCCCGTTTCTAGAGTTGGTTTTATGGTATGAATGAGAGGAGTGGTCATTGATGGAATATCAAGTACCCTGGTGGCCTTCGATTTATTCTTAATTGTATATAAACTGCTCAAAAATGAATAGGAATATTGCCAATTTTGTAGTATGTCTACCATTAATTTAAAAAAAAAATAAATTGCATTAAAATTCATTATAAATTAGTGTGTTTTACAAAAGGAAAATTTAATTAGAGGATTTTGAAAAACAACAAAATAAAAGTTTTAATTCCATAAATTTGTTTATTGGACACAATAATTTTTTTTAAACAATTAATACCATGTATAATGTGCTCTATTAACTAAAACCTCTGTGCACCTGTTCGGCATACTGTTAATAAGGTTGTCAGAAATTTCAAAAGGAATTTCATTATATAGATGTTGCAACTCAGTTGTTGCAGGTCAACTTGCTGCAGATGGTGATTGAAAATCCTTCTCTGCAACACATTCTACATGTGCTCAAGGGGATTGAGGCCTGGAGACAACGAGGATAAAAGATAGGAAACTCCCAGGTTTTCCAAACATTGATGAACAACTCTACCTTATCAGGTCTGGCATTGTCATACAGAAATTGAAATTCCCTGCCAATCAGATCCCTGGATTGAGGGATGTATTGCTTAATAATTTCTTGGACATAAAAGAGTGCGGTAAGGTTGCATTCAACAATATGGAGTCCAGTTCATCCTCCAGTATAAATCCCAACACAGACCATTATACTGCCTCCTCCAATCTACACTGAAGGGAGCATGATCTAGGGCATTGTACACATCCCCCCCCCTGCAATGACACTACTTCTGTTCTCCCTTAGCGGCATAATGTGCTGAGATCCACTACCAGGCCTCCTATAGGCACTTCCATTCTCTCAGAGTTGGGCTAAAGCCCGGAAGACCGCACTCTGAGAAACACCAACAGCCTCTGTGATATCCACTGGCCAGTGACCTTGATGACTCATTCTCACAATAATATTGCCAACTTCTGATTGAAGATGTTGTCTTTCCATGGTTACAGAGAAGTCAACTGGATTAAAATGGAGAAAAGGTGTTTGTTTACAAAATGAGTAATCTTCATTCTTAAGTAAATCCGTTATTAAAAATTAGGATTAACAATTTTTTGTTTTTGGTTTGTATTTTCTGTTTTGCTTTATCCAACTAGCAAGAAAATATTGGATAACGTTATTAAAATTAATAGAATAACAATAAATTACAAATATCACAAATATTTTGAGCAGTTTAGTAAGGCAGGTAAGTAGACGAATGAGTGTCAAGAACGAATCAGCATGATGTGTCCCAGGTCATTGCAACCAAAAGATAAGCATTGAGTATAAAAACTAATTTGAGGTAGAAAATGCAAAGAGAAAAATTGTTGTGTGCTGGCTATGACCTGTTTGCCTCGAAAAATCTATATAAGAAGTTAAATTGTTCTATGAAAAAACATTGCTATAAACTATTCATGAAAAATGTTTTTCTTATTAATTTTTTTGTGTATGATTTATTTAATAATCATCCAGCGTACCGTAGAAAATGAGTGCAATTACCTTGGTGGGCCGCTAACTTCTTGTTTGTCACTCAATACACACTTTGTGCAGAAAGTCTCAGCAGCAAAATTTGCACTTAATACTATGTGGTCTGGGTTCATGAAGCATGATTTGGTCTCTTTATCTTCCACATTTAAAGTGTTTAATGCGGATTGCCGTTCCATTCTCACATACGGATGTCAAGTTTGGGGTTTTAAACCTTATGATCAGTTGGAAAAATAATCGAGGTATTTCATCAAGCAGTTGTTTGCCTTGACTGCTTGTACTCCAAAATACGTGCTATATATAGAAACCCGTGTTGATCCCTTATTTTTTTTACACGTTAAAGCACCATGTAAATAAGTATACAAAACCCTAAAACTCCCTGGTCACCATTATACGAAAATTACAGCTCAGGAAATAATAAAAAATATTTTCTGGTATAAGTGTTGGAGTTTCTTGTTAGAGAAATATCATCCTTCTTTCCGATTCTTTTGAGACAGCATTTCTGAAGGGATGGCAGAATTCCAATGAATTCTTTCCAATAAAGGTCTAGCAAAAGCATGAGGATTTTGGAGCAAACGCTGACAACAGAGAGGTTTCTTTTGTAAAAGATGCTTGACCGAATATCGATGTGCTCTGCTAACGAATAAGAAACATGTAAGAACACTAAAACTGAGGGATCTCTGCTGACTCTTCAACTCCGAGGTGAAGGTCCTTAACTCTACCCCCTAGGCTGCCAGAGGGATACAAAAATGTGCTATCTGTGCAGCACAAGGGAAAAGGAAACCATCGTCACTTTTTGGCTAAATGTACCGTTCTGTCCAATATGCGTGCTTCGTATTTGGGCAGTACTGTGCTCTCGGAAGAAGGCCTAGTCAAACTTTTTAAATGAGCCAAGCCTGCAGTAATAAACTTCGCTCGTCTCTCCTGGTTTTACTGCTGAGAGCTGGTACAAGGGTTAAATTTTTGATTTAGTAGAAGAAATTTGTACTTAATTAATGGTTCCTAAATCTATCTTGTTCTGTGTTCACCCAATTATATTATTTATTTATTTTTGTCTTTTTCTTTCTAATTATGTTATAAAACACTGAGAATATTATTATAATTTATTGGCTATTTTATTAGCTTTTATCAGTAAGCTCGACTCCAAGCAGACGGATATTCCAATGCTGTAAATACTTATGTTTTTTAAAAGCGTATGTTTTGTTATTTATAATAATTATCAAATGAAGTATTATTATTATTATCCAGTATACTGGATTATCTTTTATTACATGGCTACATTCGTATTAGAAAGTGTCGGATGCTACCTATAAATGGACACTCGAGAAAAAAAGAGATAATTTCATCCACCTATAATTGTGTTTATTACAGAGCAAAAAGTTGGATTTTATTTTATCAGTGTCACAGCACCTGCGCCAAAATATTTTAAATTGGGTAATGGCTTTACATAAACGCTCACCAAGTCTGATTTTGACGGAGGCCTCTTGGACGTTGTTCCTGTAGGCGAAATCATTTTCGATGTCGTCTTTCCCAGATTCCAGGTCATCGTCGTTGATCAAAGGGACGCTCATCTCGATTTTGTCCAAAACTTGTTCCAAACTGTACAATTTTTTTTAAAGATATATTTTTTCTTAATTTTACAGCGATCTGTTTAACTAACTGTCTGCAAGCTAGTAAAGAGCAGCCAGCAGCTGTTTTGATCAGTGTTGTCGCCCCAACGACATCTCGTCGTATTCATTTCTCTTTTTTCACCGTGTATCCATCTCTAAAAAAACTCCAATTGTTATCCTCAAAAGTATTCAAGCGTTTTTGAAATATAGTGCGTAATATATTTGTAGAGTTGCACAGGTATGGGGATTTAGGAAATTTGAATAGGTAGAAAAATCATTCTTTTGCCTCCTTGCCAAAAAATAAATACATAATTTTTTTTACTTCATTTATTTGTATCTACAACGGTACCAGCAGATTGGATAATGAATTGTTGGTAGCATATTCGGGCGTTATAGAGAAAGCTAGCCATTGCCAGCTGCTCTGGATTAATAAAATGATATTATCATCTTATCTATATTCATATATTTATAAAAACATGAATTTTTGATCTCGTTTAATTTGGTTTACATTAAAATAACATGTTGTAATTAATATAACGACAAAATTACATGTACTTAGTTTGAAACAAACTACAAAAAATATGAGTGTCCTGTTCTTTTGACTTCGACGCTACCCGACGCAAATCCAAACTCCGATTTTCCATAAGGTTGCATTTCATTCCGTACACATCTACTCGATAATCGATGCTAAATATTAATTAAATGTTATTTTAATGTAAACCAAATTAAACGAGATCAAAAATTCATGTTTTTATAAACATTATTTAATTATGATGGTTTGGAGTAACTTTATTTAAGACAATTAAGTTTAACAAACAATTTATAGATGGTTGTGCTCATAAAATTTAACTAACAATTTATTACAAGGTTTTGCTCAAAATAGTGCATTAAGAACAAAAGATGCGTTGCGATTGTGATAGTGATTATTGTGATAAACGCTGTGGACTGTACGCGACGTATGCTTGCGTCGGATAGATGTGCACACCCCACCAAAACGTGGCTAGGCGTCGGGTAGCGTAGCATCGGTCCAACGGGTGTGTTCCCGCCTCCCGGCTTTACTCTGTCACACGGCTTTAACCTTCGTCACAGCTTCTCTCAACACGACATCGGCCCTTGTCAGGGCCACAAAACTCCCAGTCACTAAACTGGTTTTGCACGTAATAATGCATTGAGTAAAACTAAAAAAACTGTACTGATTTGTGATACACGCTGTGTGACTGTCCGCGGGGTGCGCTTCCGTCGAACAGACGTGCACACTATATAGTTGACACTTTGACAGTGAACCCTGAACACTACTAACTGCACTCTGCACATTCCTCCAAAACGAGCGACTTGTAAGCGCAAATTCATACGTTAGTTGTTGATTAAAAAGAAAGTTATTTTAAAATCATGATCTATTGTGATGACAATATATATTATAATTAAAGCCGTAGTGTTGGTCGCCTTCATCCTTTCTGGTTTTATTTTTATTTAAATTAAAAATACCAACAATTAAAAAAAAAATGTTTAATACGCAGCTGTTTCGAGAGACTTCAGTTGGTTTTACCGGTTTAGAAAACGGATTTCTTTCCCAACCAGTTTATTTTTACGTGTTCTCGGTTTACAGAGTATGAGGGGTCCACAGTTCTTACACTAGGCTCGGTCTTGACATCAGTCAATATTTTTCCGGTTTCTCGGTTTGCAGGGTTTGAGGGGTCCACAGTTCCTCCACTAGGCTCGGTCTTGACCTCAGTAAAAAGATTCCAAATCAAGGATGTGACTACCGCGGCTAAGAGAGGTCCGAACCAGTAAATCTAAACATGGACAAATAGAAGAATTATGGTCCAAAGTTCAAATTCGCAAAAGGAAAAAGTCCCCATATCTACCCAGTGGTGATCCCAGCAGTCGTTGATGGCCGCAGGGCCCAGGCTCCTCGCCGGGTTCATCGAAATACCGGAATACTCGGCCTGAAACAGAAACGAATATTATTCTGCACGCGTTTTGGATAGATTTCAACTCACGATCGGATATATCGCGGCCAATAGGGTGAATGTGAAATTGACTTCTGCCTTAATCGGTTGGTCGACGTTGTCCTTTTCGTTCGGCAACATCAACATGAAGAACGACACGATGAGAAACGATGTAGACACAAACTCCCATAAGACTAAGACGATGATCGATTCTTGAGATGGTATTGTACAGCACCAGACATTCTCCGTTTTGTCGAAAATACGAATCGACATCATCTGAAATACAAAAACGGAAGTTCAACTGATGTAGTTAATTCCGGACGAAATAGCCCTATTCTAACTTTTCAATTTAGGATAACCAACCTTCAGTATGTAAAATCCAAGAACACTCCCGATAATCTGAGCAACGATGAGTATTAACGCTCTTATAAGATCTATATATCCGATTAGGAACATCCCCACAGTGAGAGCCGGATTGAGATGTCCTCCAGACGTGAATTGCATGAACTGTTTAAACGAGCAATCGATAGAAAGATAGTGGGAAACCGTTAGTTAGACAATACCTGCGCGCAGGAGACGATTATGAAGCAAAAGCCTAAGACTCCGCCAAAGAAATCCCAAGATTTGTACCTGACAATGTGCAAGCAAGAGCAGCCTATAAATATGAAATAAAACATGCCGATGAACTCGCACAGAAATATGTGCAGGTACAAACCGAAATGTTTCGTCTTGCTATTCGCCTCTTCACTCAACAATTTACCTACAGATTTTGAGCATTAGCTAAGGCCACTGGTAAAAAGAAGTCTGGAACTTACATTTTACGAGCTTCCTGAGCATTGTTCTTGTGGTTTACCAAACCTAACCGAACGACTCGACACTCAAATATCAGCTGTAAATGCCAGCAACTATTTTTTCATTCTAAATTATTGTATTACAGCCTGAAAATACTTTTCAGCGTCGTTTACCGTCTCGTCAATCAACACAATAGTTAAAAAAAATAGCGAAATATATATTGTGGGCCTCTTTTTCGTGGACTCCCGGATCTCCGCGAATGATGTGAGTGATAAAGCTTGATTTGTGAGATAGTTGTTTGAGTGCGAAGACATCTCCAATTCTATTTTGCACATTCTTGCCGTTTTGCATTTCGCTATCCTCAGTAGTTTGGACTCTGTTATTTTAATTCGCCTTTCGACAGTCGCACTGACGAAGGTAAAACTCCGAACGCGTCTTACAGACCTAAGCAGCAAAGAGAGACGGATGATGATGACCGGCAGCAGACCAAACCGCTGGTTCAACCTCTTTGAATCCAAAGACATTACTGTATAACAAACTTGCCCAGTTCTTCTCAGGTGTGGGGAGCGTGAAGGGCTATGCTCAAATCAGTGACGTTTCTCGAATGACGAGAGGAGACCCTTCTTGGACCTTTATTTGGCCATCTTTAAGGAAAACGTAAAAGGGAGAAGTGGGATCCTGGGGACTCGTCAAGAAGGAGCTTTGAAAGGATCGCTTCGCTCATCAATCGTGTTTCGACGTGAACTTCTCTTCAGTGTATCCATTTTTGCTAATTGATTTGTGTAATTCGCCTTTCTAAATGTTGAACGCAAGACTTATTTGTATTTGTATATGATTTTTTTTATAAATATGAAATCTTAAAAGTTCAATAAGAACTAAGGAGCTCCAATTTTTTCCATTCATTTTATTTTTGGTACTTTTTTGAAAAATAAGTATTAAAGTGTGAGACAGGGCTAGATCCACTCACGGGTAAATAACAAAGGCCTAGAATAAATTAGGCACGTTACAACTGTTTAAACACAAATGTGTCTCAGCGAAGACTTTTTACATTTTGATTGACACCATTCCAATATTTAATCACAATATAGTGTTTTTATTGTTTCTTGGTCAATGTACCAATGTAATAAAACAATTATATAAATACATCAGGTAGTTATACAAGAAACTATTTATGAATAAAGTTAAGGAAGAACAGCTACGAGGAGAGAGGCTAACTGCTTTTGTCGTGAAAATTCAATTAAGTTTAACGGTCAACGACGGCAGTCCGATCTGGTCTTGTTGAGGAGTAGTTTGAATGAAACTTTGAATTTTTGAAACTTTGAAGTTTCACGAGATCCCCACCGGAACCGCTAAAATGGCAGACATCTCGAGGGAGAATTTGAAGAAGGAGTTTGCCGATAAACCACTCTTTTCTATGAATTTAGGCATAATGTGAGATCTCTTCTTGAGGTCTGCTGAACCGGTATTTTTGTCATTTCCTATCCTCGATATATTAAAAAAAAGAAAAAGAGAAGGTTACAATAGCTGTAATATTTCAATAAATGCTAATATTACTATCATATATCAATATGACAGAAATATTGCGAAATATAGAAATCTTGTCCAAGGAATGCAAAATCGTTTAACGGACGTAATTCGTGCCAGAGATGGAAATACTCGGTGTTAAATGGGACGAAAAAGATTTTTTTATTTTTTTAAACTTAATGATTGTGAGGAGTAATTTCGAACTGTTGTATGTTGAGATGGGAAGTTGGTGTCCGAGGGGATCGAAATCAGTCAAGCATATTCAGCCGAAGGTCGTGGGTTCGAATCCCGCTCGTGACACTAATTTTTCATTTCGTCCAAAACCTTAGATGAAAAGAATAATTAATGATTGTTCTTTTTAAATGTCATACTTTTTTCAACCAAACCCAGACATTTAACTCCTCGGGTCTTGGTCGCCCACCCTGCATTATATGTATATAAACAGACCGCATCTCACGATTTCTGAATAATTAATATGAATAATCCTAAATACATTGAAATATAAGGGTGGTGCGTTAATTTTGTCCAACATTTATGTTATGTAAAAAATCTACTTTGAAGAGGGGGGCATATTAAGCAAAATAACAAAACATATTTTACTATCTTGTCACATATATCATGACCAAAGTCCGGATTTTTATGCAGTAAATATTGCCAAAATATGCGACAAAATGTGCAGTTGAAAGCCCTGAAGTTCGCAATAATATGCAATATTAATACGTTAAATTAATAAAAAGTAAATAAATAACTGGCGTGTCGGCCCGACTGGATTGGAGCCCTAGGCCAAAGGAGAAAATGACCCTTGGTGGTTTCATGTCCCTTAAAAAAAAGAAAAAGGAAAAAAAGGAGGAAACAGATTAAAGTAAAAGAGAAGAACGTAGAATCGGGAAAATATTTGAATTGGATTTGGGCGGGTGGGCAACACTGTTGATCGTCTGGTGGGGAGAGGAACTGCTTTTGTCGTGAAAATTCAGTTAACGCCCGCAGTCTGAACTGGTCGCTTGGACTAGACTAGTTTGAAGTTTCACCAGAACCCCCACCACAACCGCTACAATGGCTGACATCTCTAAGGAGAATTTGAAGAAGGAGATTGCCGGTAAACGACTCTATCTCTGAATTTACGCCTCGGGCCGGTTCGCCTGGCACGGGGATCATTTTATCCACTTCTAGTCGATAAATTCTATCAAGGCGAAAATGCCTCTTACCGCGAGAATTATGCCGCTACCCCTGTCTCAAAAAGTCGTCGCCCGTCGAAACAAACTCCGTCCGACTCAAGCCTCTACCGCAATGGCCGGCATGACGCTTTGCCTCCGAGCCAAACAACGTTTTTTCAACCGATTTTTCGCCCGTCCCATCGCCACCAACCTCACAGTTTCGTTAAACCCTTTTATTCTAATTTTATCGATTTTAATAAATTAATTATTTTCGTCTACGTTTTAGGTTTACTTTCTACGCCGTTTTCGTTTTTAAAGACGTTCTGCCGCGCTTCACGGCAGGACGCTTTTCAAACCGATTTTCTGACTTGGTCCACCTTAAATCATCCTCTCGTTCATTTCTACCCGAGACTGAGCTTTCACAGTTTCTCCTTTAATTAAAATCCACTTTTTAAGGAATAATTTTTGAAATTTGTTTTAATCATTTCAATCTCCATTTCCTCCTTTCCGGCTGACTTTTTTCTTTAAATTTCCCAATTTAGAACGATATAACACAATTCCCCGATAGTCTCAACCCTGTTTATTGTCTTTTGAATTTTTTTTTTTTTTTTTTTTTTTGGCGACGACATTTGAAGGTCCGGGCCTTTTCTCCGAACCGGCCGAGGCTTGATGCTGTTTAACCTTAAAAATCATTTCGGCTATGCTTCACCGTGGATTCATCCTTTTTTACAATTCCCCACGTCTCGACCTAGAGAATTTATTTTTGAAATATCAAGCATTTTTTTTATTAATACAGATTAGGACGGAATTTATTTTTAAAAAAATATCTTGCGTTTTCTTTTGTTATACGGATTAGGACGGTTTCACGTGTTTTTTAAGCTTCGCGTCGTCTACGCTGGTGGAGAAATATCATATTCATCTCCAGCCTTCCTTCTAATCCGTTAACTCCTTAATATAAATGAAAAAGAGAAATAAAATCAACAGACCAATATCAAATCTAAAAATAATTATATATAATAAAAGTTATAAACTGACGACGGCTACGATTTAATGTATTTTCTGGAACTATTAATTTTACGGAAATCGTTTTTAATCTCGTTTCCGTTTTGCTGTTTTTTTGATGATTTTCTTTTTTTTTCTTTCAATTTAATGCATTTAACGGTACAAGTGCTCCTACACTAAATTAATATTTTGGTGTTGTTTCATTTTCATGATACTTCTCGACCTTTGCAACGGTAAATTTAGTTATATAATTTACAATATTTTCTCTAATTTTTTCTGATGGAGTGGGGATAAAAAGCAAAATGGTCTGGAAATTTATAATATTCAGTTTGCATTCGATTAAAACTATTTTAAAGGATATGCAAAAAAAAAAGTGCGTATGTATATTTAAAGTGGTATTAAATCAATTAGAAACAGGCTAAATTATATAGAAATGGTAATAAGTAGTGGTTTTTTATTTTATTTTTATTTTTATTAAATTCACTAATTTCGTGGTCCGCTTGACCAATTAAACATTACAATTAATTAAGGTTTTTAGTTGAGATGAAAAAAAGCTAATGGCACGAGAGGGACTCGAACCCACGACCTTCGACTAGATACGCCGCTGCTCTACCACCTGAGCGATCGTGACCTCGATTCACTCAGACATCAACTCCCCATCTCAACCCCATTTTATTTTTATTTTTAAACAAGGGTTATCTCAGGGTACCGGTGTTTTTGAAAAAAAAAAGAAAAAAAGTCCATTTGTAAGTATGTCGGGTTGGAATGCAGGGCCGCTGGAGTCGAATTTTCTCAATTTTTAATTAATTTTTTTCATTTTGATTTTTTTTTTTTAACGAGGGTTCTCAGGGTGCCGGTGTTTTTGAAAAAAAAGTCCATTGGTATGTCGGATTCGAATGCAGGGCCGCTGGATGTTATTACCAAATTTTTTATATTTGGATGGAGTAGGGGTAAAAAACGAAATGAGCTAGAAATAAATTTTATAAAAGAAATGATTTTTGCTTTTTAAAAATGCTAATAATTTTGGAATTATTACTATGTCTACAAATCTACAAGTATTAGACATCAGTACAATCTTATACTTGAAAATTTGTTATATTCTGTTTGCAGTTTAAATACAACATTTAAAGTATACATATTTGCTTAGTGGTCATAATTACCATATTAATTATTCTTTTTATCTAAGGTCTTGGTTGAGATGAAAAATTAAGTGTCACGAGTGGGATTCGAACCCACGACGGCTCAATACGCCGTGCTCTAACCACTTGAGCTATCGTGGCTTTGAATTTTTTTATCTCAACCAAAAACCTTAGATAAAAAGAATAATTAATTGGAATTTTAAACTATTTAAAAAAAGTGTATATGTAAATTTAAAGTGGTATTAAAATCATTTAGACAGAATCTATGTTGAAATGATGATAAATAGTTATTACCAAATTATCTATATTTATCTATATATGCTTAGCAGTCATAATTGACCATATTATTTCAGTTAATTATTCTTTTCATCTAAGGTCTTGGTCGAGATGAAAAAGTTAGAGTAATAAAATACAATTATTACCCTAAGCCATGAATCATTTCACCACAAGAACATTAAGATATACAAACATATCGTCCATAACAATCACTACCCTAAACACATAATCAACAGAATAATACAACTCAATACTAACATCATCCACTATTACTAATAATACTACATCAAATCTATCAAATACAGACAAACCAACATACATTTCCATGCCATTCATTCACGGCCTATCACATAAATTAAACACATTTCTCTCTTCTGCCAACTTTAAAATAGCTTTCAAAAACTATAAAACAATTCACACACTTTTTTCCAAAATTAAAGATCCCACGCCAGTAACAAATAAATCCGACGTAATTTACAAAATCAATTGTTTAAATTGTCCGGCAACTTACATCGGTATTACATCCCAATCCTTTTTAAAAAGATAGTTCCTACTCACAGTGGGTGACTTACTATGAGTAGGAACCATGTTTTTAAAAAGGATTTACACCACACTCACCCTATCATTCATCATGTCTATTATATCCCAACATCTGAATAAGGGAGTGAAGCAACATATCGTTGACACCATGTTAAAGTGACGAATATGGATTGTCTCCACTTTTCACATTCGTCACTTTAACATGGTGTCAACGATATCTATGATTGCAAAAAACCGTTACAAAATTTTACAGCCCTGGCTACTCACCATTTTGAACACCAACACAATTTCGACTTCAACAGTTCAAAACTATTACACCCAGAACAAAACAAAAATAAACATAACTTTTTAGAAATGGTTTACATCAACACAGCATCAATTACAGAACAGACATATGTAAACTCAGTTGCAGCTACACCAATATCATTAATCAAATTCAACTGTTGCCATGCAACTCTGTCCAGCTATTGGGCTGTGTTGAATGAAAAATGTCCAGCCCCTGGTGGATAGATGCAACATTGTGTTTTACTATGCCCCTCACAGCTGCAGTCATTCTATGAAATTGCTGAACGAGGCTGGCAACAGTTGCCGCACTCTCGTGCCGCACTATCCAGACCTTGCCCCTTCAAATTTTTACTTGTTCTGCTACTTAGACAACCACTTAGAAGGTAAGGAATTTTCAATGGACGTACAGATTTCTTCTTGCCCAAGTCATTATACTTTTGATAAGAAGGGGATATTTCTGCTACCAGTACATTGGGAGTTTAAATAGAAAATGAAGGAAATTGTGTTTTGGGTTAAAAATAAAATAAAACAACTTCTGGAAACTGATAACAACTAATGCACATGCCGATATTACAGACTCAATTATATATATTGTTAAATTACATATAATGTTGTTTTTTTTGTACAACTCTTGTTTTTTGTTGTTTTTTAAGGGATCCTTAAAGGGGCTGATTTAGGAAAAACATCGGCGAAAAAGGTCCGGCAGGAGCTTGAGAAAAAACTTGATGCCGATTTGACAAGCAGGTAATATTTAATTTCAAATACATAAAAGGTGTAATGATACATACTTTTTTATTTATTTTTAGAAAAAAAGAAATTGATGATATCGTAATGCAGTGCCTCAAAGAGTCTGAAGTGAAGAAACCCAAGAAGAACGGCAAAGGCAAAGAGGATGATGAAGAAAATGACCAGGAAGAAGAGGAAGAGGAAGAAGAAGAGGCTGAAGAGAAAGAGGAAGAGGAGGAAGAAGAAGAAGAGGAGGAGGATGAGGAAGATGAGGAGAAAAAGAAACCGAAAAGGGCGACACCGAAGAAAGCGGCACCCAAAAGGAAGAAGGGGAGCAGTGATGAGAGCGATGATGCCTCTGAGGACAAAGAGAGTGATGAAGAGTACTCGCCCAAGAAGAAAGCCAAAGGTGGAAAACCGAAAGGCAAAGCTGCCAAAGGCCGCAAGAAGAAGGGTTCCGACTCGGACAGTGATGAAGACTGGGGGAAAAACAAGAAAGCTGCTGCAAAAAAGCCAGGTGCTAAAAAAGGCTCAGGCAAGGGCTTCAACAAGCAGTGTACTTTATCCCCTGAACTTGCAGCCATTGTCGGGCAAGAACAAATGGCTAGACATGAGGTTGTTACTAAAGTCTGGTCTATTATTAAAGAAAAGAATCTTTATGTAAGTATAATTGAAAGGATGTATTGCTATATGTTACATATTACACGTGCTAACATTTTAATTTTTATTCAGATTGTCTCCAGGATCGGGATTGAAAAATATTGTTTAAATTGTACAAATACATATGACTGTGTATTTGTACAATGATGTACACAATATTGAAATTTAGTTGTTGAAGTCATGAGGAGCGTCAAGAATGAGGTAGTTTAGAAAAACACCTTTTTCTTTTTTTTGTCTGCATTTCGACCTTTATTCAGGTCATCTTCAGGGCATAAAGTGTGGTGCTATTCTTGTGGCGTCATTTTGGTTTTTTGTGAAAGTGTTGACAGCAAACAAGGTTAAAACGTCGGCAAAAACAATGAAAAAGGTGTTTTTCTAAACTTCTTCATTTTTGACGGCTCCTCGTGACTTCTGCAAATTATGAAACAAGAGGTCACTAAGAAACATAGAAATTTAAGGTTTTAATCCAAGTATTTGTACACACTCAAAGTGTGTTTTCGCAGACATGTCACTGTTGAGTGTCGTGTTGAGAGTGTTAGTGAGATATTAATGTTTTTTGTTTATATGTTTGATATTGAAGGAAGTAGGGGGAAGGGAAGTAGGGATCAAAATTAATTTTTTATGATCAGCTAGTTTCTTCAAGGAGAAAGGAATCAAGGAATCTGATCATGGAAAAACGGGTAATGGTTTTTCGTTCGGGCCTGGTTAGCCTTTCAGGATTATATAGTGGAATATTAGGGAAAGGAGAGGTAAATTGTTGGGAATTTAGACTATTTACAATTGTTTGATTTATGGAGTGTCTTATATGTTGTATTATATGTATGTTAATGATTTTGGGTTTAATTTATATTTTTTCCCTGTTGTCATAAATCATTTCTTCTAAAAACCTACGTTTGTGTTTGTTTCATTCTGTGTGTAATATTTTTGAATTGTTGAAATCGAAATTGTGTTGGTGTTCAAAATGGTGGATAGCCAGTGCTGTAGGATTTTGTTTGGGCTATTTGCTAATAGATAAGTTGTTTTACCCTCTTATCCAGATATTGGGATGTAATTCCAATGTAAGTTGCTGGACAATTTATACGATTGATTTTGTAAATTGAGATATCAGTAAAGAACGAAACATTGGCACGACAAGAAAATTTTTTTCTACACATACATAACACTAGACTGCATCTCACGATCTTTAAATAATCATTAACTTCACTAGTTTCGTGATCCGCTTGACGAATTAATATCTTTCAATTAATTAAGGTTTTTAGTTGAGATAAAATAATCATTAACTAATAAACATACAACACATTTCTACATGAGAAATTTGAATTTATTTTTATTAGTAGTCAAATCAATTAACAATTTATTACTAGCGTGTAATATTGGATGATTTTTTGACATTATGTATTTCCAATTCAAATTAATAATCTTATACCATGGCAAGGATTGCTGGTAATTTTTTACCACACGGAAAACAATAATAAGGACGTGTGTGGTATTTAGTGATTGTGTTCGAGAAAAACATTTTCTTTATCATGCCAACGTTTTGATCTTTATAGAATTCAACTTCGGGGCTCAAAGTGGTTTCCTATGTAGATCACTTTGAGCCCCGAAGTTGAACTCTATAAAGATGGAAACTTGGCATGATAAAGAAAATGTTTTTCTAAATCTATGTCTTAACAGATCGCATCTCATGATTTCCAAATAATCATTAAATACATAAATCATTCTCATGATCTCTAAAGAATAACAAGAAAATTCATTAAAAAATAATGTAATGAGTATTTTTTTCTTTAGTTTTCCAGTTCTTGACTTTTTATATTTTTTGGGTTTCTTTTCAGGAACTAGACAACTATTAAACCCATTTACTTTTTATTAATATCAATTTGGGGGGGGATCAGCTTCCCCTCATCAGTCTGTTTTCTTTTTGGAGATAGTATGTGTTTCCAAAAAGAAGAACGAGACTGATGAGGGGAGGCTGATGCCCCTGAAATCGATATCAATAAAAAGAAAATGGGTTTGATGGTTGTATAGTTCCTGAAAAGAAACCCAAGAAATAATGTAATAAGGGTTTCTTGCATCTTCTATGTCCTAGCAGTACCTTCTGCAATACTGTTGTATTGCTTTTGTTAATTTTTCATTTTTTGTAATTAACTTTTTTCTTTTTTTAGGATCCTAAAAACAAACAATTTGCTATTTGCAATGATGAATTGATGAAAGTCATCGGCACAAAACGCTTCCGCCCTTTTGGAATGATGAAATACCTCAAGAGGCATTTTATTGACTAGATCCTCACTTCTTATCAGTGGGAACCTTCCACAATTGAAATTTGCAAATCTCACAGATTAATCATTTTACAAGTGCAAATTTTGAAGAAAATAAAGAAGAAAAACTTTTACATTTATACTTCATATGTGTTATTGTAGATATTAACGCTGCAATATTGTGTAAATTTTTTTATGGATTTATTTTTAACTTTAGTTTTTTTAAATGTCTTCACTATCCAGAATATTTTTAAAATAAAATTAAAAAAAATAAATAAAATTGCGTATTAATTTGACTGTTTTAGTCAGCTGCAAACTTGCAACTTTGCAAAACAAAGAAGATAATTTTTTGAATATTCTCCGGGCAATTTTCTATGTACATTTGTATTGACGAAACAAAATGTTTTATTTTTTATTTTTATTAATGTTTTCCTCTTATTACAATATTTTAGTACAAAAAGAAATATTGCATTTTTGTAAAAAGTTTTACTTTTTATGTAAAATCATGTTTCTTTTCTAACATCACATAATATATTATAACATTACTTGAGAAATTATACAAATTCTTATATATAATATATTATGTGTGTATTTACATAATAAAACTAGTGTGAAAAATTAAGAGAGCATTGAATTTTGTCAATTTACTTCAGAATGCAAAATATATTAAATTGTCAATACAGTGGTAATTTTTTTCTCACCTAGTTTCTCTTCTCCTTTTTCCATTACTCTGTTTTTATTTCAGGAAAACCTAAAGGTGGAAAAAACGATAGCACTGTAACGCAAAACATTTGCAACGGAATTAAGGTATTTCTTGCGGAATTCTTAGGAACCTTCATTTTTATGTTCCTAGGGTGTGGGTGTCTCAACAGCCACTCCATAGTTAACTGGAATGAGTTCACTGGCAGCTACTCTTTTGGAGTCACTTTTGCTGCAGCTGTACAAGTAAGACATTTGATTTCTCATCGAAAAATGTTATCGTTGCGGAAATAAGCAAAATCAACAATTAAAATTACTACATGCTTATTACAAAAAAGTCACATGTTTTTCCTTTTTTGTCCACATGAAAACAAACTTTTTTATTTCTATTATATTTTTAGAAGATGGTTTTAATAAATGTATAACTAACAATGAGTCAAAAAATAGATAAACGTTTTAGGAAAACCAAAAGTAATAAAGCAACAATCAATTTTAACATTTTAAAAATTATGAAATTGTATGATTGCTCAATAAGTAAAAGCAATAAATTAAAGAAAAAGTCCTACTATTTTCCCCCGTTTTATCGTTTTAAGAATAAGTTATATTGTATTTGAATACTGAGTAGCTTAATTCTAATTGTCTGGTTGTAGGTAAGTTATAATACTTCGTACGGTCATCTGAATCCAGTGGTCACTCTCATTTTCTTCATGTATGGATATATTTCTATCAAACTTGTAATAGTATATGTAATAGCACAACTGTTGGGAGCTATTGTAGGTACAGCGCTTTATAAGGTATAAATTATTGACTAAGTACTGTTTACCACTTATATTAATTAATTATTTAATTGTTCAGAAATCGTGAGATGTGGTCTGGTATGATGTAAGTTTCAGAAAAACATTTTATCGTGCCAATGTTTCGACCTTTATTGAGATCATCTTCAGGGCCTGGGATTTACAAACATTGTTTACATTTAACAAATACATTTAGGATGTGGAAAAGTGAATTTATACAATGCAAAATATATTTTATATATTCAATCAATGTATTTCTATTCACTCAAAGTGTTTGTCTTCTGTGTAATTGTGCCATTCTTGCATGTCGTGTTGAGAGATCTTGCTGTTTTATGTTTATATACGTTGGATTTTGAAGGGGTGGGGAAGGAAGTCAATTACAGAACAGATACATGTAAACTCCGTCGCAGCTACGCCAATATCATTAATAAAATTCAATATAGATAACACATATATCATTACATTACATTCCACACATCAACTGTTTTTCATAGTCTAATTGTCCAAAAATTTAGCTTTCCTTTTCCTATTTATCCCTTTCTATATAATCCTGAAAGGATAATCAGGCCGAACCTTTACCCATTCTTTCCCATTGGCGGCTCCTTGTATCTCAAAGAAGCTGATTCCTCATATAAAAATGTTTTCTGCCTCAACTTTCTTCCGCACCTCTTCAAAATCCAACGTATATAAACACAAAACAGCAAAATCTCACTGGCACTCTCAACACGACATGCAAGAATGGCACAATTACACAGAAGACAAACACTTTGAGTGAGTAGAAAGAAATACATTGATTGAATATATAAGATAAGAATATATAAGATTTTGCATTGTACTTTTCCACATCCTAAAAGTATTTGTTAAATGTAAACAATGTTTGTAAATCCCAGGCCCTGAAGATGATCTCAATAAAGGTCGAAACGTTGATTGAAACGATAATTAAAATGTTTTTCTGAAACCTACATCCACCAGAAGACCGCATCTCACGATTTCTGAATAATTATCGATTAACGGTCACTAATCACCATACATTAATTATTTACTTAATTTTGTACCCATGCCAAGACTACTTTTATTATATTTTGTGATGCTGATAGGATGTAATAAAGTACATATATACACACACATTATTATTATTAATAAGCCATACGAGGTTGACACACGGACACTTACGATGGGCCAAAGCCCACATGTGTGTTCGACATAAAGAGAAAGTCATTTACGTTTTAGTGGTCAATTGACCAAGTTACATCTTTCTGTTAATTATTCTTTCCATGTAAATCTTGGTTGAGATAAAAACATTTGAAAATGGCAAAAAGAGAGAAGGTTCGAACGGTTGAAGGTTGAGATGGAGAGTTGGTGTCTGAGAGGATCGAAGTCATGATAGCTCAAGTGGTAGAGTAGCAGCGTATTTAACCGAAGGTCATGGGTTCGAATCCCACTCGTGACACTGACTTTTTTATCTCAAACAAGACCTTACATGGAAAGAATAATTAATTGAATAAAGAGAAAGGTTGTTCGATGTGCCCCTAACCACCTGATTGGGCGTTCAATTCTTTGTCTCCATGTAGAGAGCATGTAGGAATGCCAGATATGGGAATTGTGCTTGACAACGGCAGCGAGTATTTAGGCCCCCTGTTCCAATTGTTGGAAGAAACAGGGTTGTTTGACTGTATATACTACTGATAGTTTTGTGTTCCTAAGATGTGCTGAAATTGTATGTATTTATGTGGTGGGAGTGAATGTATTTATTGGTGTGAATGTGTTGTGTGAGAGGGCCAACGGTAGAATATTGGGTAACCCATCAACCATGTTTATATATACATCCATTTGCAGATTTAGGCTTATATAAATCCAGGTAAAAAAAGTTGTAATATTAATTAATTACATTATTTTTATATTTCTTATTTGTGTGGAATAATGTTCCTCTAGATTACTTCGTAGAAGAAAGCCTACATTAAGTAAAAAGATAGGTGATAGGGGAAATTTAAATTTGAATAATCTTTTGTCTACTTACAATGGAAAAAGAAAGGGGTAAAATGATAGTCAGCGGTGTGAAAGTATTTTTATAACAATTTTACAGTTCCTGTCCGAACAGAATTTCCATATTCTGACTATTGGGAAAGACCCATATTCATGCGAGACGAGAATCCACCCGAAGTTAGGTTCTGGACTGGCATTCATGTGGGAATTTCTAGGATCAATTCTTCTTGGACTCTTCATCTCCTCTTTCCTAGATCCAAGATCTCCAAAAAACCGTGAAAACTATTCAATGAAAATGGCACTACTGATTGGTGTTCTCAACACTGTCTTGGTACATAAATTACCTATTTTGATTAAATTGAATAATGATGTCTGTTTTCCTTACTCTATTTCCTCAGACTCCTTATACTGGAGGAAGCTTAAATCCTGCTAGAAGTTTTGCTCCAGCCTTTATTAACAATCACTGGCTTGACCAATGGGTAAGTAATTATTTAATCATAGAATATCCATTCAATAAATACATAACATGATTATTTACAATAAGACAAAATATACAATAAATTATAGATTGATAACAACATAGCTCATGGGAACAGAAGGGTTGAAAACAACATTAAAAGTTATTGAAATATAGTAACAAGTTTAAATGAAATCTTCTAATCTTTGCACCTATTAGAAGTATTATCTATATTCTATAATATACGTATAATACATATTTCAATCTATATATTAATCAATTTGACCACATATAAACACACTAATCCGTCGGTATGGGGTCTCCCTTAGGTACGGCGGGGAGGTGAATGGGTAAAAAAAAGAAAAAAAATATAAACACACTAAACCATGCAAACAAACAAAAAATAACATATTTTAATGGTGGGGGGGGGGGGTTGGTGGCTGCAACGGTTTAAGCATTGACACAGTCCTCATCACTGTAAGGTAAAGGTCCCGGGTTCGAATACACCGGCCCTGCACTAAAACCTGACATACTTAAAAAAAATTTTTTCAAAAACATGCCACCAAATGACATAATTTTTTAATTTGTAAGAGTTTACTCGATTTATTTAGTTTAAAATTAAACCCATTATCCTTCTTTCTACTTTAGTTACAAGTAATTAGGAAACATCATAGTGAAAATAAACAGAAAATGTTTGTTCACTTTTGTATTGATTAATCCAATTTGCACAAAAAGTAGCATTATGCCCTTCCATTCTGCTATGCCTAAAGATCGCTTTCTGTTTGTGTTTTTCCTTCATTGATTTCATTTGATATTATTCTTGTTCTTAAACCTTTTTCAATGGCTCCTGTCAGACATTTGAATGAGTATGACAATGTCACGGTCATAACATTATTAGAGGAAGGATACAGCAGTGCGAGGTCGCCAGGAGACTGAATGTAAACACTCTACAATAGGAAGGGCCGTTTGGTGCTTCAGAGAAACAGGGCTCCACACTAGTAGGCCAGAACAGGGTTGAAAGAAATGATAAATTCATCCGTCATCAGGCTCTACAAAACAAAAGGCTCAATGAAAATAACCTCAGGGCCTGGCTCTCGGGTCATGGATCTATTCTTCAATTCTGAGCTCAGAAAACGGCCAAGCTCCAATTCGCACAGAAACATGTGAAACATTGGAAGATGGGAGACTTGGGGACAAATTCTCTTTACAATGGTATGGTTCCTGTAAGGTAGCTTTCCACGTGGAACACTTCACAAACTTCACAGAGGATCCAAGAACATGTACTGCCATTGATGTGGGTGAAAGATTCTTTTGTGTAATGTCCAATGTCTAATCACAAGACACATTTGCCCCCCCCCCTCCATTGGTGAGAAATTCTTACGAATGCAGAATAATGCTAGGCCCCATAGAGCACATGTTGTGGATGACTACTTGAATGACACACTACTGGAATTGAGTTCTTGGTGTGGCCAGCTCGAAGACCAGATTTGAACTGAATCGAACACATTTGGGACCAACTTAAGTAACGAGTTCGACAGCGAAACCTAAGTCCAAACATCCTAGAAGAGTTGGAAACAGCTGCAAATGGGAAAGAATTCCTCAGGATTTTATCAGAAATCTTTTCCAAGAAATGCAAAGGCGTTTAATGAACTTGATTCATGCCAGAGGTCAAAATACTTAAATAAATAATTAAAGGGGACTATTTTATTTTTAAACATTTTTATTTGTTTTTAAAAATAGCTTTTTTTTGTTCTTTACTCAATTTTTTTAAAATTAGATAATAAATAATTTATTTTGTTGTTATGTAATATATTGTTACAACCAAACTTATTTTTGGTAGGTAAAATATGTATAAACAAATCTAATTTCATTAAAATTCAAGGGTTGTGTGTTAATTTTCTACATCAAGTGTAGTAGTTATAAATGTGTAAAATAAAAATTGAAATGATCATTACAATTACAGATATACTGGATTGGACCAATAACTGGTGGATTATTTGGTGCATTTTTATATCACACATTTTTCCTACCAATGGTAATAAAACAAAACAATGAAAGGACAGAAGTTGAAGACGTTTCAACTGCAATTGCTTAAAAAAAGATTTTAATAAAATATTTTTTTTCTCCATTTAATTTGATGAGAAATACTTTAAAAAATGTTATAATAAAATAACACGATACACAAGTAAAACACAGAATATTCATTTTTGCAAATATTTGCACTTTAAACCCCCCCCCCCCCACAAACACACTGAACTCTTTATATTTTATATGTAAAACATTCCCCTTAAAAAATTAATTTAGACATATGCTCTACCGATAAGGGGTACTTGCACAGTCCACCTTCAGGTGAATCAAGCGGCAACAAAACTCAACTCTTCATCAGGTTGTTCATGCTTCACCTCTTGTCAGAAATTCGACATTATACACTCCTTGCATTTATTTGTTCATTTTCTATAACAACTGGGTATCAAAATTAACAGTTGACTTAAAATGTAAACACAACATTAATAATTTGTTGTTTACCTTTATAGAGTGTTACTATTCTTTTTACCCTCTTTCAATTAAAAATAAAGAAATAGTTCAATTTCATCATTTCCAGAGCTAACTTATCGAGTGTGATAATTAAAAAAAAAATTGTTTACTTTGAAAAAACAATAAATTTCATTAAAAAATTAATAATAAATTTTTCTTTCTTATAAGGTGGTTAGAGAATATCTTGCCTGGGTAGATAGACAAGCACATTCTCCTGACATGGATCCTATATGTTCGCCACCCCCAACTAATGTTGAACAGCTTTAAACCTCTCTTATTGAGTAAATGCTTATTTACTTAATGCCTAGGAGATTAATTGTACAATTTACATTAAGACTTCCCTATAACAGAAATCTACAGGGAACTACATTTTGTCCATTTGAAGGAAATGCCTGCCAAAGGAAATTTAGGAGAAAAAAATTACAAAATCAAGAGATATAATAGAATAAGTAAAAAAAAAAATTTATGGTAGAACTTGTATGTAGATGAAAATCTAGATAGTTGTAGATGTAATATTAGGGTTATATAATGTATTCCACCTTTTTAGAGTTATTCTATTCCTCATTCTGTACTTATAGCACACCAGTGAGGCCTAGCTGATAAGACATTTAATTATTAGGCGCAGTTTCAGTGATTGAATTTCTTCCGAGGTTATGTTGTGCATCCCAAAACACCTCCTCCTGAAGGAAAATGTGGCACCACAGTTTGTTAGTAGGTTAAAGGCTATATTTCTTTGCTGAACAGATAAAAATATAAATCTACATACATATAATTTAAGGAAAGATGTCTACAATTATCTTTTACATCTTTTTCTGTTTAATCATTTTATAATTAATGGCAATTTGATGTGAAGCAGCTATAGTATACAAGAGAAGTGGCAGCTATTACATCCCACATATAAGTATAATCTTTTAAAACACCAAGTCATAATAAGCAATTGGTTATAGTTATGTTGAATACTTACAATAATTAATGTAAAAAATAGAATAAAAAATAAATAAAAACAGGCAATTAATGTTAAAAACATATCTATTAACCAGTGGATTTAAAACTATTAATTTCAATACTATAAAAGGAGAATGAAACACTGCTGGGTTCGTAAAAATAGAAATAACCAAAACTGTGGCAGGTTAAGAAAGGTGTCATTCTCTGGTCCACAGAGGACAGTTCGAAAAGACCACGAGAATAACACACGACCGGAAAGCTATCGCGTAGGTGCCTTTTATACAAGGATAGAATACCTTTTCAATTGTAGAAGGCTTGATGTATATTGACAATATTTTGGCATATCACCAGAACTGTGTGTAGTCTTGGGCTCGGCAGCTGGCACTGATTGCTGTTCCGATACCTCAGGGCTATAATAATTTTTAGTAGATAGTGTTTGTGTGTCTGTGTTGACTTTAACTAAATAATTAACATCAAACATTAAATAAACAAAAATTAACATAATTTATTGGAATGAATGTATTTATGAGCATGAAAGGAAGGGGTTGCTTGTAATCCAGTCCAAGGAATATCGAGTACTCTGGGGTGAGTTTATGGCGTCTGGAGAGTAAAAGTAAGTTATTAGCGAGAATGTTCTGATTTTGCACTCTTTTGACAGTATAAGCTTTAAAAGATATTTTTAGCATGAACCCCATCGTACATGAAATTCACTCTGCCATAAAGAACTTTTACTACCCCCACAGGCCCCACTCAGTACTGATTCAAGGCAAATAAAACCCTCATTGTGGTTGCTGCCTTTAAAAAAAAGTTGTCATCCTGTGCTGGTCTGTAAATTAGAGTTGATCCTAAAACCTTTGAATTAATGCTAGTTTAAAATGAAAATAAAATTTCAGGATAGGTTAACAAAAAGGAATATAATTTCAATTTTTATGTTTGATAAAAAAGAATGACTGTTAACTCCAGAGATGTAATCTAATTACATCAAATTTCCATCCATATGTTGATATGATGTATAACTTATAGATTATTTTATAACATTTGTACTACTTCTACAGATTAACGGTAAAAAACATTTACTGAACATACTTACAAATAGGTTTTTCTTTCAAATACATCAGCACTTTCAAATATATCAACCGAGAGTTGATATGACCTCTGATGTTATGAACCCTCAATATGTACACCATTTTTAAAGAACAAAATTCCATTAAAGAATTCATTGTAGTATTGTTTTTAATTAACATGTGTAGTGGTCTAACTAAGAACTATGCTTGATGATTAAAATATTTTCTGTTTAAATGGTAAAATTGTCCTCTTTTAAATGAGAGTAGACTCAATCAAGGTATTTTTACTCACTCAAAGTGTTTGTTTTCTGGGTAGATGTGTCATTATTGAGTCTAAAATTTCTAGCATTGTATAAATTAATTTTTTCACATCCCACATGTATTTGTATAATTTAAACAATGTTTATAAATCCCAGGCTGTGAAGATGATCTCAACAAAGATCGAAACATTGGAACGATAAAGAAAATGATTTTTTAAACCTATGTCACACCAGACCACATCTCACGATCCCCAAATAATCATTGTTTCCTTTATTAAGTCAACTTTCTCTACTTTTGATTTATGTTTTGAAGGTTTTTGTTAATGGTCAATTAATAAGTTAACAAGATTAATTTTGCTAAGTATATTGTTTGACAGTTTAGGCACATATATGCTTTGTTCTTTCCATTAATAAACAAAATAAACGGTATAACACAATTGAGGGTTCATTTTTAAAAACATTTTATTTACTTTATTGTGGAATTGTTATCTCACTGAATTATGAATCTCACTTTACATTCAGTACATCATTGCTAATCTTTTGACTAGAATTGCAAATTGTTTTGTCCAACAACAAATGCCATGTAGTTTGGTCATTTCCAAATATTTTGGTCTGTCTATCCTTGCTGTTTTGTTCTGTCAGATGTATTTCAGCTCTTGACATTGGTGCGTCATAAGATTCTTTTACACGAGTAAGTTTTGTGAGATTTAACACCATTGGTCAGCCACCTGAAGAGTCAAAGAAAATGTGTCATAAGTTTTGTAATTTGTTTTTCAGTCTTGTTCAAACCTGCATACATCAGGCTCTCGTTATTCGTGGTTCCTCCTCCCCTGAGGTGAAGAAGAGGATTATAAAAGAAGGAAAAAGGAATAATCAATTGAAAAATTTGGAGAAATCTTTCGATTAGTTCAAAAGTCGAAAAACAAAATCAGAGAATATGATACAATAGTGTAGTACGAAGCATCATTACATGACTGCTAACTCAAACAATGGACCCTCTCCAACAAAATTTCCAGCATTTGAAAAACTAGACAATGCGGCCTCCTATAACAAAGTTCTTTGGGAAAGCTGAAAGAGCAAACAAGGCTGATTCATCACTATCTGTTTCTAACTGGAATTTCATTTATCTTTTTTATACATTTTATCTTTTGTAGACCCTAATAATTTTTCTCATTTGTTTCAATGTTATTGTTCCAATGCATAAGTGTTGATGTATGTATGCACACAGAAAGTGTCTGATTGTAATGCAGGTAGAAGAAAATACTTTGAAGCCAGAAATTGAGGGTGTTTCCTATTGACTGTAGTGAAGGTGGGTACGTATCCTCTGGATAAATGGGAGTCTACTGTATTTTTTATTTTTTGCAGGTCAAAAACGTATACAAAAGTAAGGAGAAAAAATATATACTTATACAATGCTTATGACTAACTTAACATTAATAAAGAATAAAAACTATACTATACATCAATGAAAAAGACAATAAAATCCTTATAAATAAAACAACATAAAGTTCTTCTCCTGTCTATATAATTATAACGACTTGGAATTATACAAAAAAAAAAAATATATATATTAAAGCATTATAACTACATTCATAGTACATTTTTAACTTTTTAAACTAAAATTATTATGCTTTATGTGTGTTATTTAGTGAGCGTTAATCAATGATTATTCGGAAATCATGAGATGCGGTCTGGTGTGATGTAGGATGTAGATGAGAAATCTTTTAATTTTTATTCTAAAATTTCTAGCATTGTATAAATTCAGATAAATTGTAAAAGATTCAAACGTTGGCACGATAAAGAAAATGTTTTTCTAAAACCTGCATCACATCTCACGATCTCCGAATTATCATTATACTTTAAGTAACGAACATTTTAATGAAAAAACAGAAGTCTTAAGTAAATCAACAGTATTGCTTATGTTGTTACATTCTATCATGATGCGATGCATCGGGGAGTGTAGGGAAAAATTTGTTCTTTTATATTCAATAAAAAATATTTTCTGATTTCTGCAGTCGCAAGGGGGGGAGGGTCATTAAAATTGGAGTTTACCAAGGATTTCTGGAAAATCTACACAATTATTAATTAATTTGAAAATAAAAATAATCTCAAAATACTTTCTTCTGCAGTTAAGATAAGAAATATTAAAGTAAGATTTAATGGGAGCATGAGAGGATTTATCATTGTGACAGATTAATTTGAAATATAATGTATGATGGAATTTATTTTGAACAGTTTGAAGAAGTTTTATATCAGTGTCGTAGTGCGGATTCCACATGATTGAGGCATATTCAATAATAGGTCAAACAAGTGAATTATATAGATGGACATAGCAAGCATCTCTGAATTGATAGGTACTTCAGATGATGAAACCTTGAAAGCATTTTAAAGGAGCGATTTTTGATTTATTGTAAATTAGCTTAAAGGTAAGATCACTATCAGAGATGATGCCAAGATCTCCAATACAAGTTACTCTGGTTAACAAGCTGTGAATGGTATGAGTGCAAAAAAATAGGAGATTTTTGTAAGAAAAAGAGATAGTAAAATATTAGAATTATTTACGAATAGTTTGTTAGTTTGACGCTAGTCAGAAAGATTATTGAGAGCTTTTTGTAAATTAATGCATTTCATGGCATAATAAATTGTTGTAAATATTTTTTAGGCCATAGCGAATAGAAGAAACTCGGTACCAGATAGAGTAAGGTGAATATCATTAATGAAGAGGAGAAAGAGAAAAGGACCAAGATGGGAGCCTTGTGGCACACCAGATAAAACAGAAAAGGAAACGACTTGATTTTAACTATTTTGGTGCGTTCAGATAAAAAGTATGTTATGATCAATTTTGTCAAAGCATTGGAAAAATCTACATATACAGAATCCACCAATCATCGGCTATAGCGTAAAAAAATATAATTTTGATATATTAGCAAATTAATAACTATTGACCTGCCAGTACAGAAGCCATGTTGTTGAGGAATAATAACATTTTTGAGGTTATTTTTTTACTTTTTATAAACCCAATATTCAAATATTTTTGAAAAAATGGATTGGATGGAAATAGATCTATAATTACTTATGCATTTATCGCCAGATTTGATTCTTCCGGTAGGAGCACCAGGAAAGTAACCGGTATACCGTACTGAAGCAGAGGCAAGGGAATATTGTTTTATTTTCTGGTTTGCATTTTTGGTTCCCATTTGTTTCTATCCCCCCTTTTTAAAATGAACAGGAAGGGTTGGCTGGAGGATACGGTTTCTTCCTCTGTTCTAAATTAGAAGTAAAAAAGGGATAACTCGTTCGGTTTGGACCATAAGATAGATCAAGAACGACGAGGGATTTTTTGTTCCAAGATGAGCGAATGGAGAGATGTGTCGTCAGTTTGTAACTTTTTAAGAATGGCAGCACATTGAGAGAGTAGAAAGTAGACTAAGAGCATTGGTTGTCTCGCAGTTTAACATCACGACTTGTAAGGGGATGGTTTATGTCGTACATTGACGACTTTTCTTTCATAATCTGTACATATTTAATTTTAACAGTGGGTCGTGCCAAGTGCCAATCCGCCACTAGAAATATTATCGGGAGGCGAACCCAAAAAACAGAAGGTAAGAAAACTGACTTGTTTTCGGCTAACTTAATCGATGTCAATTGTTTACAAGATGAAAGAGACTGCTTATTCTTTGATAAAAGTTTTTCAACATGTTGATGTTTTTTGATCAAAAAAGTAATCAAAGCCCTTTTAAAGTGCAACAGGGAGGATACGCAGGTCAAAATAACCGGGAAACTGGCTCATCGCAGACCCTACGAAAAATTCTGATATTAAATGATACGTTATTTTGTCAAGATTTTTGGAACGTAAGAATGTTAAGAATTGCGTGTTGTAAAACAAGTCAAAGGGAAAATTAGTTATATTAGTCATTTATTTGGTGTCTTGAGAAATTGACCTTCCTTAAAGAGAGATGCATAGTTTCAGTGGAATTTGAAACGGGCTTATTGTTGCAGCATAAGGGATTCATTAGACAGAGCTAGCGCCTCACGTTTTATCGATTGTGACACTTGGGTTTATATTATAATAGGAATTTATCGGTCTGACATCAAAGGCAGCCTGGGCGATAAGCGACGGAAGAGATTTAGTCGCCCACGCTAAGTGTGGGCTGAGGATTTTCAAATCAAGATTTCCCTCTCGAAAGCGCTTCTAAAGGACTTAAAAAAAGGCAACTATTTCGTACGCTTCGCCATTTGACAGTCTAGGTATAGTTTACGAAGAAATCATTTCGCGTAAAAAGTATCCAAACATACAAACAAACTACCCTAAAAATATAATCAACAGAATCATTATATAAACAATTATAACCCAGCACTACACAAAGCAACATCCTCCACAGTGCACAACAGATCATCATCACAATCATACAAAGACAAACCAATATACATGTCCATTCCATTCATCCACATATTGTCACACAAATTAAGTAAATTTCTCTCCTCAGAACACTTTAAAATAGCTTTTAAAAACCATAAAACAGTACACACACTTTTTTCCAAAGTCAAAGACCCTCCTACACGAATAGCCTACAAATCCGATGTAATTTCTAAAATTAATTGTATGAACCGTCCAGCTACATACATTGGAATTACATCAGAATGTATAGAAAAACGGAAAAAACTACATATATATATATGACTGTAAAACACCAAAAACCTTACCCACAGCATTGGCCACACACGACTTTGAAAAGCAACACAACTTTGATTTCGACAAAATACAAATACTAAACACGGAAAAAAACAACAATAAACGCAACTTTCTAGAAATGGTTTATATTAACAGAGACACACACAGCATCAACATACATACATCACAGATACACATAGAATTACAGAACAGATACATGAAGCTCAGCTGTAGCTACGCCAACATCATAAAGCAAAAAAACTATTAAAGTGTGTGGTGATTAGTGACTGTTAGTCGATAATTATTCAGAAATCTGAGATGCGGTCGGGTGTGATGTACGTTTCAGAAAAACATTTTCTTTATCGTGCCAACGTTTCGATCTTTATTGAGATCATCTTCAGGGTCTGGGATTTACAAACATTGTTTAAATTTAATAAATATATGTAGGATGTGGAAAAAAGTGAATTTATACAATTCAAAAAAATTTTTTTAAAATATTCAATCGAAGTATTTCTACTCACTCAAAGTGTTTGTTTTCAGCGTAAATGTGCCATTCTTGCGTGTCGTGTTGAGAGTCACTGGCACTGTAAAGATGATCTCAATAAAGATCGAAACGTTGGCACGATAAAGAAAATGTTTTTCTGAAACCTACATCACACCAGACCGCATCTCACGATTTCTGAATAATTAAACTATTAAACCTTATTTTTATTTTTCCCTTTCCTTCGTTTATCGTCCTTAATAATTAACTTCTTTTCCAGCATTGAATACCGAATCACAAATCCAATCCAGAAAATCCCTATTCTCGACTTCCTTTTAGTTAAATAAAACCGCCTTTAACCAAAACCAAAGAAATTTTCCCAGATTTACCGCTCTCCCACCCTGTCATAATTATATAAAAATAACTGAATTCATTCAAGTTTCAAAATGTATATTTCATCTTAAATTGTATTTTTTCCAATCAACTTATGTTTTGTAATTTACCCAGGTCTTGAAGATGACCCGAATAAAGGTTGAAATGACGGCCAAAAAAATAAAAAGGTGGTTTTCTAAACTACCTCATTCTTGACCGCTCCTCTCGACTTCATTAAATAATTTAACACTAATATTCTGCTTTAACTAATATTCGATTGTCTGGAAAATAATGCAGTTTATGGTTATCAAATAAAAACAAATAAATGATTTTAAAGATTTTTTCTTAATTAAAATACAGTAATCTCGCAACATTCGCGAGCGTTACGTTCCAGAAAAAATATGCAATGTCGAATCCTCGACGTTTTATTCATTTTGACCTGCGTATCCTCCCTGTTGGGCTTTAAAAGGGCTTTGATTACTTTTTTGATCAAAAAATATCAACATGTTGAAAAACTTTTATCAAAGAATAAGCAGCCTCTTTCATCTAGTAAAAAATAAACATCAATCAGCGTTAAGTTAGCCAATAGGAAGTCAGTTTTCTTTTACCTTTTGCTTTTTGGGTTCGCTTCCCGATTATATTTCTAGTGGCGGATTGGCACTTGGCACGACCCACTGTTAAAATTAAATATGTACAGATTATGAAAGAAAAGTCGTCAATGTACGACATAAACCATCCCCCCTTACAAGTCGTGATGTTAAACTGCGAGACAAGCAGCTCTCACTCAAGGGTACAGTAATCCCTCAACATTCGCGGATTCGACAGTCGCGAGTTTCGTTTATTTGCGAGAATAAAAATGCGGAAAAATATCACATTCGCGCCCTATGGATTTGACTATTCGCAAACAAAAAAAAAGTTTAGCTTTTAAATAATTTTTCAGATGTGTAAACATTCTCAAAAATCCCTGATTGGTTCTGTAGTCTATCCTCTGCAAATAGGGTGGTTCCGTTCCATAATATTGGGTTGTCCGGAAAATAATGCAGGATTTTGGTATTAAACAAAAAAAAAGAAACTAGTTACTTTAAAGCAATGTTCTTTAATCAAAATAATTTCCCATACNTGAGTAATCCTGTAAACGTAAACAGAATATTTTATATAGATTTTTTTTAATGAAAACTTAAAATCCTGCATTATTTTCCGGACAACCCAATAGTAGAGAGAGGGACAAAAACACATCAGATTTATTTCTATGATTAATGGATTATTGCATCTATTGGTATTTTTTATGAATTAAAATTTTCAAAATTTCCATCCATACAATTTAATTTTTGCTAGTTTTTTTTAAGTTCTCCGGGAAATCTTTTTTCTGCTTCATAGTAAGCAAACAATTTTATACAAAACACCGGACAATTTTATTATACAAGCTATGCCTTCTTTACTTTTCAACCAACCATTACTAGCTGGAAGTCAAAGATGATGTAGAACCTTTGTTAATTTCATCAAATAATTTTTTAGCTTTAGCTATCAGTGCAGAACTAAGCGGAACAAACTTTTGAGACATATCCTCCGAGCAAATGCTCAAAGCATTCTCTCTTCAAGAGATTGATTGATTTCGAACTTGCGACACGATTTTCGCACTGGCATTAACACTAACGACGACAGAGTCCCTTATTAATTTTACATATTTTTTCAATCGAACGCAATGTCGACGCGTCGATGCTGAAGAATCTCCCAAAAGCAGTCGCTCTTTCACCGACTCGCAATTTATCTAAAAACCTTAATTTTATCAGTGAGCGACATTACCGTTCTGTTCCATTTCGGTAAAGATGCCATAATATATAATTTTTATTGCAGGTTACCATAGGGTTATGGAATAAATTTATAAATGTTTTAAAGAGTCTGTACAAGAAAACTGAATCTGCTGTCTGGAAGAAGGAGGGAGTTTCAAGTGCATTTAAGACAAACATAGGGCTAAAGGTAGGTTGTTTACTATCTCCAATATTATTTTCATTATATATCAATGATCTATGTGATTTTGTAGGCGGTGGATTGCATATTGATGGGTTGAATATTCGTTGTTTGCTCTATGCAGATGACATTATATTATTAGCAACGGAGCCCAGTACACTGCAGAAAATGATAAATAGGCTTTACGAGTATTGTCAGTAATGGAATTTGTTTGTTAACTCAAACAAGTCAAAAATAATGGTTTTCCGCAGAGGGGGTAGGCTTGGGAGAAAAGAGGAAACTATGCTGGAGAAAATATTGAGATTGTAAATCATATCTCGGTATATATCTTACACCGCAGCTTGCGCTGGAAAGACATCTTAAAGAAAAATTAAATGTAGCCAAATTGTATGAATTAATTCTTTAATGTATTAATGTACATCAATGTATTAATTGTACTTGGATGTCTCTCTTGTCGAATAGTGTTGTTCCC